CATTTTTTTTAACCCATTTACCAAAACGATAACAACTTGCAAGAATGATTTTAGACGTAGGATTTATTTGATCATCTAAGCACCAATTGATAATATTAACAGGATCTTGTCTCTTTTTTGTTAGAAATTCATCCAATTTGTTGATGACTAATTCCGAATCAGTACAATTTGATCTTTCTTTATTGTACAGGTTAAATAATTCTTTAATAATTTCAATCAAGGAATCTGGCGACTTATTGTCTTGTAAAGATAATTGGCTAAAATTGTCAGCTATTTGGGTAATATCATTTGATAAGCTGACTATTTTTTCATGAAAATTTTCATTTGGATTATTTGACATTTTAAAACCAAGAAAAAACGGTGATCAAAGCATTAAATAAAATTTGTCCGTATTACTGTACAACTAATATTTCTATAATTAGGCACTATGTGTAACATCATTTCATTACGTATACAGATTAAAACACAAATATCCGTTCTAAAAGGGAAAATGGGTAAAAATTTTATATATTCTTACATATTTTTACATATTTTTACAAATTATGGTAAAATCAATACGTCAATATAAAAAAAAACTTCAAGATCAATATTTATTTTTTATTTTTAAATATATTTAAATTTTTAGCAGCAAATTTCAATTTATCACATACAATTAATGATTAATTTAATGATTAAACCTAAGCGTATTATTGATCAAATTGTGGCTGATTTCTTCACAGCAGATACCGCATTATGACGTGACCTTCGGCTACGTCATAAAAACAGTATCCTAGTGAATAATCAGTTATCCACAACATGACCAATAACAAGTACTTATCGAGATTTTCTAAAACTAACCAGTCCTCTAAAGTTTTTTCTTGAATACTATGCGTAACTTGAATATAAGATTCAATTACGGCTTCATTATATATAATTTGATCATTAGTATTAAAATTATCGATGCTGTCAATTCTTTGCATTACATTTTCTTCAATATTTGATGCAGTAGTTGTACGATTTGATCAAGCCTATTTTCTTTATTTTGAACAATATGATGTGCATTATTTGTTTCTTGTGCTATATACCATCGAATGCATGTTATTTTTGGTTGCACGTTCATTTATAAGTTGTTACGCTGTGGTGAATGGATATTTGCAATAAATGACCCGAATATTTGCTTTCAGCAGAAGTAGGTGGTATCAGCATAACACGTTTAGCAAAAATAACTAATTCCGGTACGATCGATCATTTTATTTAACGTAATCGATAGTCTTAAATTACTTAATAATATGTAATAATTTATAAAATATGTAAGGGTTAAATTTTAGCTATCGCTTACATAATTATTACAGTGCTCATATATATCAACTTTAATATGGTCCCTCATTAACATCATTATTAACATGAATTTAAACCAATTCAAAATAGGTTGATATTAACGAGGGTCGCCTGTGATTTATATAATATGGTTTGGTTACTGTTGCCACAGTTACAAGCCCATTTTTTATTTTGTAATTTAATTAACTAAATTTACTATACTATAATATTCTGCTTCAACAAACCATTATAAACTTTTAGTAAATTTTTCAACTACAGTAATCTGAAAATCAAGATAAAATACTAAATTAACCCTATGCATCAATAAATTTCTTATTCTTTCTTACATATTCTTCACAACATTTTTTGAGCTGTTTTGCATTACAATCGTGACTAAGATCTCTTATTTTCTTCACATTACTTACATTTATAATGTTTTTAAACATGATATTGTTTTGAATTATGTAATTTAAAGGACTAAATTTACGTGATACTTTCAAAATCTCAAGCATAAAATCTAGATATTGTTGTCCACAATTTGGAAAGTCTTCAGGGAAAACATCTTTAACAGCATCTTCATATGACATTCCATAAAGCCATCTTAAGAGTACTTCATAAGTTTCACGTTGAACTCCATCGATTGTAATATAATCTATGGGTTTCTCTGTAAAATGCCAATCGAAATATTCTGCAAAATCTGAAAAATCAGAATTATTAAAATAAAATAAAACATAAAATAAAAGAACTATTTACTGTATATGAATGCCGCCAAAGGAAAACGCACTTCAGACTTCAAATATAATTTGTACCAGACACAATCTTTAATAAATTAGATAGACTGGGTCCGGCACAAAATAAAATTAAAAGTCAGAAGTACCTTTTCCCTTAGCAACACTCATATAATCTACAGTAAATTAAAATTATTATTAATTGCATACTTGATAGAACACAACGATTTGCGCGAATCTCGTGATCCTCAATTCTGAATACAACATCATGATATGAGTTCTGATTTTTCAAACATTTAGTCAAATGTTTAAATAACTGATCACTTTGTGAATAATTAACGGGAATTTCGTCCATTCTAATGTTATTGTCAACTTCTTCAGCACCTAAAGCTATCAATAGTTTTTTAAATGATAATAAACGATCATGCACATCAAATCGACCATTTATATTATTTTGAAGACCAAATACGAGCTTTTTGCCTGGGACCCAACAATTAGGATCAAAAGGATTATCACCATTTAGGAAAAGGTTTTTGTCTTTTAATTTAAATTCTCTAATTTTATCTTCATCCAAAAATTTCAAACTATCATTCACAACTTTATAAATTTCTTGCATAATTTCATATATTTTATCGGCGTTCCAACCTGATGCTTCGGAAGGAAAAACTTCAGTAGACAATTTAATCCAATGATTAATGACCATTTTAAGGCCTGGGCGGAGATCAAAGGGCAGTTCAATGTCCGAATAAATAAATTTTGCTTGCGTCCAACATATATCTTGATATTTTGCAAAACATAACGAATTAAAAGATTCATATCCCAAAGTAGGTAGTGCAGACTTGCTATAAGGACCCTTGAAAACTTTTTTTGAGGGAACAAAATTTATTTTGTAAAGTTGTTTCAATTCATCGTCATTAAATATATTATATTTTTCTTTCAGAAGACTTATCAACTTTATTGAGGCAGACCGGATTTTGTCATTGTCATTTTTAAAACCAATCAAACTTTTGAATGAACTTAAATAGCTTTTTTCTGAACCATCATTATTGATTTTTTTTTGAATTTCTTCAGCGCATTCAAGATATATGCTTCCATTTAAGTCTCGTTTAAGTCCCATTTTTAATAAAATGTTGTGACAAATGTTACTTTCTTGTAATTCAAGTGGAAGAAATTTATCATCATCGAAAATTTGATTAAATAAATCTACATTCGCGTCATATAGAGTACTGGCCTTTACGAATGCTTTGAGACTCTTATTAGGAATTGTTATTTTTTCATGTTCTCTTAAAAGGTAATTCTTAATTCTTTCGTCCCCAAGTGATAGAATTTCCTTAAGGAATTTCACATCTTGTTCTGTTGGTTTGCCTGAATTACGATAATATCGCTTAAAAAAATCGCATACTTCAATCTTTTCTACTCCAAGTGAAATAAGAACATCATAATATTCATCTTGTACATCAAAGATGTCAGTGTCTTGCGGGGGGCATGAAAGATTATGTGGCGGCAATATTCCCTTAACATTTGCAGAAATGAATCTATTTTTTTTTGGTAAACGGATTGGCCAAATTGGAAGTTCTCGAATGATATTTAAAGTTTTTTCATTTTGTCCTTGAATGGTTGTAAAATTTTTTCAGAGAATGCAAATAAGAATCGTACAGAGTAATAAAAAAAAAAAATAAATAAAAAATATCAAACCTTTAATAGATCTTTTAACATAATTTCTAAGTTTAATATAATCATCATCATCCAACTTAGCATTATTAAAAAGTGTTTCTATGGAAATATCGCGTGATAATTGCTTTATAGTTTTGAAAACGTTGGGGACATTAAAGCTTAATACACTTTGCGTCAGAGCAGAAGTGCATTTTTTGGGGAGTTTCATGTCTGTGAAGCAAATTCCCAATTTTATAAGAACTTCTACTATAAAGCTCATAGTGTCATTATCGTCCGGATAGATTAATAAAGGATTTGTTGGGTCTATTTTAACAAGTTTGTGACTCGGTCGAATAACCGGGAGCAATGGACGGTTAGGCAACTCTATAGTTTGATCTAGTTCTATATTTTTAAATACATTATCAAGCCATTTCCGATTGGGAATCGATTTTGAAGAAGGATTCCAGTTAATCTCCTGTTCATCTGGAAGATCCTCAGCCAAAAGGTCAAGAATGCCATGTGTATCAAGTCTTTTAATTCGAAGTTCGAGAAAGCGCTCATTCTTAAAAACTTCAATAAGTTCATCATCTGAGTCATAAATAAAGCGCGAAGGATCAGACTCTGAGAATATTTCTTGACATTTTTTTTCCGCTATATAATAATCACGTTTTCCAAAAATGCCAAAAGAATCATTTTTTAAAGGCACCAATTTCAACCCATTGAGTTTTGAATATAAATTATTATTCTCATCTTGCAAAATGAATTTTAACAGTCCTATACCACTCATAAAATCCTTTTGCACCTCCTGTTCAATGACACTTTGAATATTAACATTTTCTTGTAATATTTTATGCCGAGAATTTATAGAATCTTTTCCTTTTATTTTTTCGTTTAGGCAACCGAGTTTATATTTATCCATCTTCACAGTTGAAATACCATGTTTGGAAAAAATATCAGCAATAACATAATCGCTCTCTTCAAAAAAATATGCATTTTTTAGTGATATAAATTTTCCTCCTTCAGCTTCAGTCCAAAATACTTCACCATCACCAAGACTTTGTAGAACTTTTGTCCTATACGAATCAATTAATGTATTTTCTATTTCTTTTTCATTACCAAGAAGCATGAATTTTTTGATTGTGTAAGGAGAAAAATTTTCAGGACTGGTTTTAGAATTCTTAAATTGCTTTAAATCTTTTTTAGCGATCTCATTCAACAATTTAACATGCAAAGGCGGAAGTACATCACATAATATGTGTCGATTCCATTTTGCATAGATATCGTTATTGTTTGATTGTAAAATATCTTTCCCATCTAAAGACCAATAAAAATCACCATTTATATAGACCTCTAAATTTATTGGACGCTCGCATGATACATATGCGTATGCCCTCCCATCAATAGTAGGTGGATCTATTAACTATATAAACAAAAAAATTTTTTAAAAAAGCAAATCATCATACAAAAAAATAGCATAAATTAATATCATACAATTTTATTTAAAAGATCATCTTCATTATCTGACCGTGCAAGAATAGCGGCGACACCACCATAAGCCTGAGATATATGAATTAATAATGATTGTATTATGCAATAATTCAAAATAATGAAAGCGAAAATAAAGTAAAATATACCTTAAGTCTTTTCTTTTTTGAAAAATTTATCAAATTTTTACCCACACTTTTTTCAGAATTGCCACCCAAGCATACAAGCCATAACTCGAAAGTTGTCTTTTTTGTGTCATACATTCTTGTATTAAGCTGAAGAACTTGCGGTGTGTAATCAACTTTTCTGCGGATATTCCTATTATTATCTCCTAGATTTTGAATTTCCATTTCCCATATCAACTGTTTATTCTCATTCTTATTTATATGATATACATTATATAATTCGACATTTCTCAAGAAAAGAAGTTCCTGATGATTTTTTATGTTCTGAAAATAATTTAGAATTTCCTGAGGTTTTGTTGAATTCTGCGAGATTAAACTTTGTTTAGATAAATCGATACTTCTAAGCGGAAGTCTAAACAAAGTGCCATTAAATTCTTTATTAAAATCACAATCTTCTATGGCAAAATATGGGTTACATTGATCTTTGAATTTGGCCAAAAATTTATTCTCAAGAAAATTAAATTGAATTTTTCGAGGTTTTTTAGGAGGATAGCCTTGCAATGGAAGAAACCATGCATGAGGATCAAGGAACGTTACATTGTTTCCACTCACAAAAGATAAAATATCAGTTAAATAGTAAGAAGAAATAATTCCTGCGTGACCTATCTTGTTTTTATGATTAGAAAAATCATTTTCTTCAATACTCTTATCGTAGTAAATCCAAACGGATGGACCTTGCCAATTATGCATTTCTTTAGATAAGAGTGTGGATTGTTCGAAATTCTTATCGAATTTCCTTTCATCAAGATAGATGGAAAATCTTCGTGCCCCCACATCATCAGCGTTCTAGTTATGAATAAGAAATGAGTTATTAATGTGACCTTATGAATATTTCACGAAAATTTTATTTAACTGATACCTTGAGAAATTCTTTAAACAACGAATCAAGTGAACATCCCTAGACATTGTTAAAACAAAAAATCAATGTATTAATTATAAATAGATGGTCTTTTGAATTTCAAGATGTAAGGTATTATAAATAACGTCAACATTTACATTAATAATATTTTTTATTCTAGGTATTGAAGGCACAGATTGTTCAGAAGCTTCAAATTCAATCTCGCAGCATTTTAAAAATATAGTGGAGAGCATCCGAATTCCAAGATTCTCTGCAAGCTCAGGCGTTATTTTCGGATGTGAGAGTTTATAATTCTTCTTCTCTTCTTTGTTAAGTTCAGGCCGATCATCAAAATAAACATCCTTATGTTTAAAAAGAGTAGAATCAGCACTTGGAATAAGTAAGCCTTTCAAATCGCAAATTTGCACTTCCTCCTTAGTTCGTTTATCAGCAATATGTCTTAGAAATTTAATTATTTCAGACAATTTCTCTTCAGATAAAGAATTATGGTTTGCTTCAAGTTCAATTTCGTTAATAATTTTAATCAAATCATTAATTTCAATTGTTTTTTCGACTCCCATATATTCAAATACTTTTTTAAACCTATTTCGATAATCATCGGACAATTGAATAAAATTCCTTCCAAGATTCTCTGAAAGATCAAAAAATACATTTTTTGCTGCATAAAAATTCCCACCGCAAAAGATCCATTTTTTGTTTTTCAATCCTTTACTTAATTCTAACTTATACTGCTCGTCATCACATGACAAAGCTTCATTAATATGCTCATAAATCGCTTCGCAAATTTGAGATCGATTTTTAAAATTTAGATCACTTTTAGACATTATAGAGCATTGGTGTATTTGTTGAAGAATGAGTTCTGAAGGAGGATGTGTATTCCATCCTAAAAACTCACGAAGTGAAAGGCTTTCAACTTGATAGTCAAGAATTGGAACGACCAATAATACTAAAGATTTATTTTTTTTATCACGAAGTTCATCTTTATGCCAACAAGAAAATATCTTCTTCCCAGTTTTATCAATAGTTGGAATCCATTGTGAAGACTTGATAGCAGACGAAAATTCCGTATTTTTCATGCTTTCAAATGAATTCCAATGCTTATCGATATATCTAAACAAGTTAAGTGATTTGTCATGCAAATCATTAGAATTGATGTTATTTCTTTTTTCTCTGCGCTCAATATAGATCTTAATGCGCTCAATAATATCCATTTGTGTAAGTGAAGTCTTAATACCCAGTTTTTTTAAAATATCGTAATGTTCGCTAGAAAACTTTCCAGCTGGAAAAACTTTTTCATCATCAAAAAATAATTGAGAAATTTCATGGCTGGGATCAAATAGATCAATAGGCTTACAATTAACCGTGCCAAGACCTTCTTTTTCTTGAGCCATTCGAATTGTTCCACCAGGCACAAAAGTGGTATTTGCAAGTTCGTTCCTGAGAGAACGGTCTGAACGAAGAAGTTTTGACGGCAATTGATCAAAAAGCTTTTCGAGAACTTCAATATCGATATTTGGTTTGGATTTCAAATATGGTATCACACATTCAATCCAAAACCTTTTTTGTGGTAAGCGTGGAATTTTAATAACGTCTTCTAATAAATAACGTGTGGCTTCTGAGGTCACAGCAAGAAAATTGATAGTATTTGATGATACAATTATCGGATTTTCATACTCTCGTGGTAAAAGGTGCCAATTCTTTTCATTTGATTCCAAATCAATCATCACATTTTGACCAATCTCTTTAAAAATTGGTAAGCGTTTTATTACTCCAACATGATCGTTAAAATGTGGATTTTTACGTAAATTATGTAAGTATTCTATAAACTTGTTTGCGTCTTGTGAGTTCAGACGGTATGTTCCATTCAATGATGATAAAACT